TGATGCCAGGGACTTAGGTGGAGAACAAATGTTTTGAGAATGACGAGGGCAATGAATGTACAAATGTGCTTTACACAACTGATGTATGTACGGATTGTGATAAGAGTTGTATGAGCCACTAATAAAACGATTAATAATAATAATAATAATAATACATCATGATCAAGTGGGATTCATACCAGGTGCACAAGGATGGTACAGTGCTAGAAAAACAGTATAATTCACCACATAAAACAAAAAATAAGAACCACATAATCATATCAAACACAGAAAAAGCATTTAACAATATCCAACACCCATAGGAATGATAGAAATGCTCAACAAACCAGGAATCGAAGGGGTATTTCTCAACTTAGTAAAGGCCGTATACAAAAAACCAGCTGCCAACATTTCACTCAATGGAGAAAAACTGAAACTATTTCCCTTGCAAACAGGAACTAGCCAAGTATGCCCCTATCCCTGCTCTTATTCAACTTTGTGCTGGGAGTCCTAGCCAGGACAATTAAACAATAAAAACAAATCAAAGGAATCCAAATGGAGAAAAAGAAGTGAAACTCTCACTATTTGTCGATGATATGCTTTTATATGCAGAAAACCTCAAGACGCAACAAAAAGATTGTTGGAAACAATCGAAAGATTTGGCAGCGTTACTGGATACAAGATTAATAGGACTGAAATCAATCAGATTCCTGTATTCTAACAAAGGGAGCTCTGAAAGAGACCTCAAGACAGCAGTATCATTTATTATAGCCACACAAAAGATGAAATACTTAGGAATAAACCTACCCAGAGAAACAAAGACCCGTCTAAAGAAAACTACACAGCACTATTGCAAGAAACCAAGAGAGACCTACATAAGTGGAAGAATGTCCTATGTTCATGAATAGGAAGGCTTAATATTATGAAAATGTTAATACTACCTAAAGCAATCTATAAATACGATGTAATTCTAGTCCAAAGAACTTCATTCTTAAAGAAATGGAAAACTAATTTTTAACTTCGTATGGAGAGGCAAGAGAGCTAGCATAAGCAAAGAACTCCTTAAAAAGAGCAAAGGAGGAGGCCTGGCACTGTTCAACCTCAAAATCCGTTACACAGGCGCCGTCGTCAAAACAGCTTGCTACTGGCACAGAGAAGAATGGAACAGGACAGAAAATAATCCAGAAATAAATTCACCTTTGACAAAGTGATACAAGACATTAAATGGGAAAGAGACCATCTCTTCTACAAATGGTGCTGGCAAAATTGGATCTCCATATGCAGAAGAATGAAACAGGCTCCACGCCCACCCCATGTACAAAAACTAACTCGAGAGGGAGCAAAGCCCTCAATGTCAATCCCAGAGCAATAAAGATCATCAATGAGAAAATTGGGACATACTTAAGGGCCCTGTTGCAAAGCATAGACATGCTACCAAGTATCATGAAGGACACGCACACACAGTCGAAGACAAAATAGTGCCTGGGACCTACTAAAAATAAGATATAATGTGCATCAACAGACTTCCTCAGAAGGATAAAAATAGAGCCCAGAGACTGAGAAACCATCTTCAGCAATGAAAAGCAGATTCTGAAATCTATAGAACACTGAAAGATCTCAAGAAGAAAAAAATCTAATTAAAAAGCGAGGAAAACCCCCTGCGTGGGTACTCCTGGGAGGTCACTCTCCCCAGGCTCTGTCCAGGTGGCACGGAAGAGCACAGGGCTCAGTGCCCTGTGATGGACAGTCCTTTTCCACAACGTCGGAGACCAAGCCTGGCCTTGAGTCTGTGCCTGCATATTCCTCCAGCTTCTCAGAGTCCCGTGGACAGTGACTGAGGAGACAACCATGCAGGAAACAGCCCTCAGATACACCCATCCTGAGTCTAGATTCTCTTCCATGATGAGCTAGCCTTGTTTTCTACTCGTTTTGCAGAATGCTTGACATTTCAAAGACTGTTGAGGGCAATCTCAAATCTACGTCTATATTCAGAAAGAGGAAAAGAAAGGGCCTCTCTCAGTTTGGCCTTTGTTTTTGATTCTGTCATTTTTGGATCCTGTGAGTTGAATACTTAAAAGACAATAAAATTTAAATTACTCTAAAAAAAATTAAGCAAAAGACATGAACAAAACAATTCACTAAAAATGACATTCAAATGGCTAGCAAATACATGAAAAAATGCTCATGATAGCTATCCATTTGGGAGATACACTTCACAACAAAAA